GAATATCATTAAATACCATAAAAGTAATTTACACATAAAAGTTACTTATTTGCCCTTCATCATTAAATAAAAAATTTGAAGTAACATTTACTAAAGAATGAATTTTATTGGTCCAATAAATTTACAAAGTTAATATCATATTCTTGGTTAACAAAAGATTTTATCCTTATATATATATGAGCTGGTTCAAATACTAACCAAAACTATTGTGCAAACTATGTTAACCCGATCTTGATCGTTCATTTTCTCATCAAACGGTCCTTATTAAATGAGACTATAAAAATAATCATTTAATTAATATATTAATTGAGATGCCTATGAACAACGGTTCAGATGGTACTTTTGTAAAAATATCGCATGAACACGGTGAACATTTATATGAACACGGTGAACATTTATATGAACACGGTGAACATTTATATGAACACGGTGAATGTTCATGGACATTACATGGATATGAACACCATGAACACCGTGAACATCAGAATTACCTCATGATCAATTAGAGGGATCTTAAAAGATTTGTAACTCCCAAATAATTATTAGGAAGTTACATAAAGGTCAAATTACAAAATGACTCTTGTATTCAATTTATAAGTTACATTTGAACATAAAATAAAGAAAGAATGTGATTGGTTGATGTTGGTTAGTAGAGTTAACACAAAAAATGGGTTAGTATTTGAACCACCCTCTATATATATATATATATATATATATATATATATATATCCCTTGGCATTTGTGCAACTAATACAACTCAATCTCAACCGTCCATTTCATTTGATTAATATGTGATTTCATAGAAGTTTTGATTGTTTTATAATATAAAGTATTGATTATAATTAATGAACCATATTCATCTTTCATAAATATTCAAATAATAATAAAATAAACTCTCATCATTTCTATAAATATCTCAATTTATTGGGTTGCATTGGTTGTACAAATGTGATGTATTGTATTTGAAACAAACTATCTCTCTCTCTCTCTCTCTATATATATATATATATATTATATAAAACTAGAAGCGTACTCGCGCAATGCAGCGAGATACATCGTGATTTTAATATTCCATTTTATTCTTTATCAGCTGATGTTATAATATGGCTTTATGTGATTTTGAGAAAGCGATAATGTTTTTATTTTTGAATAAAATATATGTTTAAAGATATCATAAAAAATTGACAAAAATATATCGATATTAGTATCAAATTAACTATTTGAAATTTCTCATTTTTTTGTGTAATTTTTTAATTCAATTTTTTTATAATTTAATTT